CCTCGACTTGCATACTCCATTCAGAAAAGCAAAAGCCCAGCAGCCATAATCTATTTTTCTTTTCTTTATTTCTTTTTTTTTTTGTCTTTTTCTGTGTCCGGCAACGGATCGCAACCCTCAGTGTCGCCCCCGTACCGGACTGGGACCAGCAACGGAATCGCAACCCTTGGTGTCGCTCCCGCGCCTCGCTCAGCCAGTGAGCGGGAACCGGTCTGTATGTGGGATCCGAACCCTCGGCGGGAGCGTCGCCGCGCTCCCAAGTGGCGCACTGTAGCAGTGCGCCACCGGGCCGGCCGCAAAACAAGTATTGACTTAATTTGTTAAATAAGTACTACAAAACTAAATGTTTGGCTATGTGAAAGAAAAAGTTAGGGGCCGGCCCGGTGGTGCACTGCTATAGTGCGCCGCTTGGGAAGCGCAGCAGCGCCGCCGAGGGTTCGGATCCCACATACAGACCGGTTCCCGCTCACTGGCTGAGCGAGGCGCGGGAGCGACACCAAGGGTTGCGATCCCGTTGCTGGTCCCAGTCCGGTACGGGGGCGACACTGAGGGTTGCGATCCGTTGCCGGACACGGAAAAAGACAAAAAAAAAAAGAAAAAGTTAACTAAACCCAACATTTTCCTCTTCTACCTGTACTCCTATACAATGATTACAATGGCATCCATTTGATTAGGTACATAAAACACCTGCTGTTTTCTGGTTTCTGTGGAAGATTTTTAAAATATTCTATCAATCAATCTACTTCAAAGTTTGTTTTATTTTCAAGTTTCTTGTGAAAAAATAAAATGGACAAGCATAATGTTATGAACTAAACATTGAAAAGTATATCCTCTTTAATTGTGCATACATCTTTGGGCAACAACTTATGCCAGAGAAGTAAGAAAATAGGGAAAAATGTAATTTTTAACTGATTATATCAGACCTACTAAAAGGTACAACATCCGGATTGAAGACACATCCACACTAGGCATTTGATCCAAAGTGAAGGCAACCACCAAGTAAAGACACGTGAATAAGGGCACCACTAAAAATAACTTTTGTCCTATGAAAGGCTCTTTCTCAGGAATAGTGGTTCTGGAGCTACTCATTTTAAGATACTAAGCTTGCTCTGAACACAGTGTACATAACTGATTTCCTTCCCTAGTTGCTATGATAATTTTGAAGATTAAGCCCATTTTAAAACTAGTCCAGACAGTAACAAATCTACTTTTCTTCCCTTCCTTCAATTTTAACAATCATTACCATTAAAATGGGACCCAAAATATAGGGTGGGTGAGGGAGGGGAGAAGGAAGAGAGGGGAAGGGGACAAAAATCAAACTAAGTACATTACTGTGAACTTCTTCATCCAGTGCCTTGACTTTTCCTTTCTTCTTAATGAGCTGGATTTTGCAGGCATTGGCTTCCCAATCTTTGTCATTGCCTCCATCAACGCCCACACCTAAATCATCAAGAGGTAGAAAAACAAGATTCAGAAACTAACTATTGCTAGATTATCAATGTGAGGTGATAATTTAATTTAAAAAGTTTTATTTTCATCTAATTAATTCATTTACTTATCAATTCAACATCCATTGAAAACCTATTATGTATCAAGAACCATGATAGCTGCTAGAGACAAAAATAAAAATAACTCAGTTCTTGTCCTCAAATTTCTAATAGTCTACAGAAAAGACAGATAAGAAAAAAATAATTACAACGCAGTGTGATTATAAGTTATAATAAAAGTACTACAGGTTGCAACTGGAGTACAATGGAAAAACACAGAAGGTGGATAAGAAGGGAACATGTCCCTTGAGATTCTACCTTAAGTTCCAAAGGAATTTGAAAAAGTTACCCTGAATGTACTGGGAAAACACTGAGTCATTTGAAGCACAGAAACAAAATGGCAAAAACGTCTAACAAACTCTGAAAACAGTGTAGAAGATGGACTGGAAGGGGAAGAGGAGAAAGAAACCAGTTGTCAGAAGCTACAGCTACATCCCTGTGCCAGCCAGCCACAAACAAAACAAAAAACAAAGAACACAAAGAAGTCATAGCTACAGCAAAGAAAAATGAAGAGGGCCTGAACTCAACAGTGGTAATGAAGACAGAGATAAATGATGATACTGAGAAGTAGAACTGACCAGATGTGAAGTGAGAAAGTGGGAAAAGTTTGGGATACCTCTTAGGCAAAAAAAACTTGTTGAATGATTGTTGATGAAAAGGACATAGAAAAGAGTGGGGAGCAGAGTGAGGACTGGGATATATTCAGTTCAATTCTGAACGTGCACAGTTTATAACATTGTGGTCTATCCAGAAAGAAAATTCTAGGAGGCAGTTGGAAACTTAGGCAAAAAAAACTTGTTGAATGATTGTTGATGAAAAGGACATAGAAAAGAGTGGGGAGTAGAGTGAGGACTGCGATATATTCAGTTCAATTCTGAACGTGCACAGTTTATAACATTGTGGTCTATCCAGAAAGAAAATTCTAGGAGGCAGTTGGAAATACAGGTCTGCAGCTGGGGAAATACATCTGGATTAGAAATATATCTGGATTGTAAATTATCCACATACAGGAGGTTTGTGAATGCAGAACTCACCCATGAAGACACAAAGTAAGAAAAGTGGGCCTAGGAAAGAATCTTGAAGAACATTAATATGTAAACAACATATAGAAGAAAAGGAATCTCCAAAGCAGACAAAAGAAATAATCAGCATTTTAGGAAGAGAATGAGAAGATGTATTGTCAGAGAAGGTAAGGAAGGACAGAATTTTAAGAACAAAGGAGTTGAGGAACTGACTTTCCCTTACTGAGGAAAGTTAAGGAAGATAAATGCCTATTCCATGTGGCAACGTTAAGTGCACAGAAAAGAGTTATCACGGAAGGTCTGAGACTGCTATCCTTAGAAAGGCGTGTTTTTAAGGTTGGCCCTTGGCTGGCATCCGAGAACTTGGATTTCAGAAGGATTCCCACCACCCTAATTGATAAGAGTGGCTCACTGTGCCTAAACTGTTTGTGCAAACAACGTGGTTTATGCTGAACATTTGCTTTCCTGCTAGGAATCTAGAAATTTTAGAATGTTCTAGGCAAAGGGTGCCTATGTGACCAGCCCCCAATAAAAATCTTGGGCACTGAGTCACTAATGAGCATCCCCAGTAGATAACATTTCACATGTGTTACAACTCTCTAGGGGAATTAAGCACATCCTGTGTGACTCCACTGGGAGAGGACTCTTGGAAACTTTTGCCTGGATTCCTCAAGACTTCACCCCATGCACCTTCCCCTTTTGCTGATTTTGCTTTGTATTCTTTTGCTGTAATAAATCATAGCCGTGAGTACAACTATGTGCTGAATCCCATGAATCCTCCTAGGAAGATCACTGAATCTGAGGGTAGTCTTGAGTACCTCCAACATAGTTAAAGGAAGGAGTAAGAGTAGCACGTAAGTTGCCAGAAAGTTATTTTTACTTGTTTTGTCATTTATTTAAGATAGAAGAAATCTTAGTCAAGTTTAAATGCCAAAAGCATGGAATCCAGGGAGAAAAAGAAATTAAAGGAATAAAAAAGAGATAAAAGGCCTTCAAAAACTTGTTCTACCATAAAATTTGTTCTACCATAAAAATGCCCCATATGGGCCAGCCCGGTGGCGCACTGCTACAGTACGCCGCTTGGGAGCGCAGCGGCACTCCCGCCGAGGGTTCGGATCCCACATACAGACCGGTTCCCGCTCACTGGCTGAGCGAGGTGTGGGCGCAGCACCGAGGGTTGCGATCCCGTTGCCGGTCCCGGTCCGGTACGGGCGTGACACTGAGGGTTGTGATCCGTTGCCGGACACGAAAAAAGACAAAAAGGAAAAAAAAAAAAAAATGCCCCATATGATTTATGTTTTTACAGTAACATTCTTTTTTTTTTTTAAAGAATCAACTGTAGCAGGTTTAATAATGAATTATAACATGTTACAAAGTAGCATGCATTGTATACAGTTATAAAAAGTAAACCAATAATAAAGTTTTAACAAATATTTTAAAAAGTTAAAAAATATATGAAAATATATTCAAACACTTAATGCAGACACTGAAATGAACTGAAAATAAATTAGAAATGAACAAAAACCTCAAATAACCCTGTGAAATTTCCAGATACTTTTTGTATTACTCCTTTAATGTTTTATTACTTAATTTTTTATAATATCAAAATCAATACATGAACATTATAAAAAATAAGACTTAAAATTATAGTTAAAATATTCACTTTACCCAAATATAGTAACATTCTTAATAAAAGATCTCCATAAGAAGCAATACTCCACATAAATGGTAATACTACTAAAATTACACAAATAAACCCTTTAAACATGATAAAAGACAAAAGTTCTTCAGATTTAGATTTACCGAAAACAATAAAACAGACATTACTAAAAAGTCCGGTGTCCTAAAAATAATAATAATAATACTTAGATTCAAGAATAATACAAAACCAAAAATATTTTTTTAAAAAAAACAAAAACAAGAGAGATAGAAGAAATACCAGCAGAATCATATCCTCTGTACTCCAGTCTCTGAAGGCCTTTGATAAGGGTCTCCAAGATTTCTCGTCTTGTGCGAGGAACATGGTAGTTTAAGTAAGCAAATATGCCTGCAAATAAACAAATATTTAATGGAAAATTCTGATTAAAGAATCAAAATTGACATAATTATGTCTAGAATGTGCAAAAACGTCAAGCTAGAGTCCAACTTTAAAAAGAAAGAAATCTCATTTCAAATCGTTCAAATTATTTTAAGACAGTGCAACTTTTTCAAAGGTGAATTTCTAGGGCCAGCCTGTGGCTCACTCGAGAAAGTGCGGTGCTGACAGCACCAAGTCAAGGGTTGAGATGCTCTTACCGGTCATCTTTTTTAAAAAAAAAAAAAGGTGAATTTCTCATAAGCATAGAAGGCTTTAAGTATGTCAAAATAAATGTTTAGCTGTTTTTTTTTTTTTTTTTCAAAGAAGCTTATAAGGCTGGCCATTTACCTCCCTTGACTGCCATTTTGCCAAATGAGATTTAATTTTAAAAAATTAACCAATCTACAAATTTGTGGTTTATATCCTATACATTGAGCATTATGTTTAAAGTAAAACATTTTCTGCAATAAGTATTTTAAGCAACACATGGGGCCTACAAAACAATACAGATGGAATAATTTTGCTTTTCCAATGACCATGCTATCAATAACATATAGGAATAAATATGTGAAGAATATTCACAACTTAAATCATTTAAAATAATAGAAAGAATTGACCAAATATATCTAACCATCTTAAAGATAATCACTTGAATCACTTGCTCACCATACTAGCAAAAGACAAATAGCAATACATGTTAACAACTCCTGAAAATTCATGGAAAAAGAACCATCATTTGGAAAAATAAATCTAGAAATAAAAGGACAAGTACATTGTGAACTGAATCAGAAAAGCAGAGAGGTAACAACACAGGTAAAGGAAATCCACATTTTAGGAATGGCAGCATGGAAATTATCTGAGGTCTTACTTGATTATGCTTAGGCCAGGGTGGATACAGCCTAAATGTATAGAAACTGAAGATCAAAATATATGAAAATATAAGTACAAACTGCTTATTTATAAAATAAAAAACTTCCCTTTTTCTTAATTACATTTCACTATAATTCCACAATTCATAAGGGGTTTAAATTAATTCTGTGGGATAGAAGTCCAGAATGACTAGTCTTCATTTCCATCCGAAAAGAGATCTTTATTTCTGTGAAGAGTGTGGTCCTACTGAAACATTTTAACATACAAAAATAACGCATTATTAATACCCAACTGAAAAGCCATCATAAGGTGTATGCTGATGACCATGCTGAATACAGTGCAACTTTCTCAAACTATCCTACCCTAAAGGAAATCTGCACTTTGAAACTAAAATCCAAGGCAACCTAAAACAACTGTTTGAACTTCCCCCAAAAAGATAGTACAGGGCCAAAAACTTATAAAAATCCTGCATTTTGTTCAGGTTAAAATCAACGAAAACAAACAAAAACAAAAACCCCTTACATTTGTAAAGATTTTTAAAGTTTTTATGTGTCGGTACAATCATCTCACGTTTGCACCACCACAACACTGTAAAGGGAGGGTAGAACATCTATCTCATAGATGCAAAAATATAAACTGAATTAGCTGCTATCTCAGAGATGGCTACAAATAGCATTCCCAACCTCAAAGCACAGCAATTAAGACAAGAATACACCACCACACTGGTTAATGTTTTTAAGGTAAGAGTAGTAACAACACAGCAGTGTGCACTTTCCAAACTTTCAAAGGCTCTGCATGATATAACCTCTAGGAGACAAGAGAAGAGCCCCAAAACCAACTGTCCACCCATTTGATCCAGAAGCATGAGGTCTGGGGTTTTTGCCGCTACTGCTGTTCCTTCACAAAGTACCTGTAATATCAATAAACTAAACCAATAACCCTATTGTAAATTATACTTTTATGTGTGTTCCCCTCCTATGAGTCACTGATCTTTGGGAAAGATTAAATGCACACAGATAATTATCAGTTAAGCTTCAAATAAGTACTCGTGTTTTAACTAGACAATTAAAAGGCAACACATGGAATATACTTATTTTCCAAAATAATACTTTAAAATAAATGTGCTTACAAACAAACATTGATTCTCAAGTAGTCTACTCCATGGCCACCACTGACTAGCATCAGCTAGTCTACTAAAGAGAATACAATGTAGCTCATTTGAAGGCCATTCACTAATAAAACACAAGGCTGTCTGGAACTCTGCTTGCAGTCTGAGGAGCTCTGGAAAACCTGAAGAGGAAGTCCAGAGCTACCAAATCCCAATAATGCAGCACACCCAGAAAAAATCATCACTAAACCAACTCTTTTCTAAGAAATGTGTAAGTCCGATAGTAAAGTAATACACTTGGAGAATTAAAAATTAAATATGATAATCTAATACCAATTTTAAATAAACAATTTAAATGCTAATGATTAAAAACCAAACTGTTTTTTGGGCCGGCCCGGTGGCGCACTGCTACAGTGCGCCGCTTGGGAGCGCAGTGGCGTTCCCGCCGAGGGTTCGGATCCCACATACAGACCGGTTCCCGCTCACTAGCTGAGCGAGGTGCGGGCGCAGCACCGAGGGTTGCGATCCCGTTGCCGGTCCTGGTCGCGGTACGGGCGCGACACTGAGGGTTGCGATCCGTTGCCAGACACGAAAAAAGACAAAAAGGAAAAAAAAAAAAAACCAAACTGTTTTTAAGGCAAGTTACATACTTAATACTTGTTTTAAAAAGAAGATTTGGAGTGATGCAATATTAAATTCACTGTTTTAGATACATGTAACTCAACAACAGCACTGGACTTTGATATTACTTCTAACTTCAATCTCCTTGGTTTACAATGGCTCATTGTGTGAATCGAGATCCTGAGTACATTTTCAAAGAAAGAAAAGAGATCTTCTGGGCCGGCCCGGTGGCGCACTGGATAGTGTGCCGCTTGGGAAGCGCGGCGGCGCTCCCGCCCGAGGGTTCGGATCCCACATACAGACCGGTTCCCGCTCACTGGCTGAGCGAGGCGCGGGAGCAACACCGAGGGTTGCAATCCCGTTGCCGGTCCCCGGTCCAGTACGGGCGCGACACTGAGGGTTGCGATCCGTTGCCGGACACAGAAAAAGACAAAAGACAAAAAAAAAAAAAAAAGAAAAGAGATCTTCTAAATCAATACCTACCCCCTACACAAACTTATAAAATTGTAACCATTTGATAAGCTAATAAAATTCACACTAAACGTTTGTTAACTTATTAAAAAGTACTCTTGTGTTGAAGAAATCCATGAATTCCTTCAACTCATGTGTGTCCCCAAAGCTTTTCACTGTACTACCATTTCAGCTTCCCCTTCTGTGAAATGAATGGCTTTAACTGAGAGATGGTAAAGTAGATTTCACAGCAAGTGCCAGGAAGTTATTGATTGGTAGTAACTGTAGAAAACATCACTGAAAAGGATTCAATGGCCCCATTTCCTAAACAGAAGGAAAGCCATGATTGATTGGCAACACCTATTATATGGGGAGTAACAACACAATGGTCAAATATTTCCTACCTCTGACATTTTGAGGACATCAACAGTGCCCTACAGCTTGATGGTCTATGATTTCTGAGGATTCTTCCCTGATTCCTCCTGATGGATCTGACACTTTTTAATACATCCACAAACCGCAATTTTCTTCTGGGCTTCATTTCTTTGTTACAACATCTACATGATTTTGTTCTGAGTACAATGTATCTACCAAATTAAAACTGGAAACCCAGTGAAAGGCCTTATTATTTTCAGAGTGTATGGTTAAGAATTAATAAAAGCAAAGTAACATAAAATATTAAGGACATTTTTCTACAAAACCATAATATTATTATCACACCAAAGAACATAACAATGCTCTCATCACCTAATACAATGTTCATATATTCAAATTTTCCTTATTATCAAAAAAAGTCTTTTATAGCTGGCTTGTTCATGCTAGGATTTCACAAAGGATCATACCTCACATGTCTTTAAAGTCTATTTGAATCCGGAATGGTCTCCCCCACTGCCCCATTTTCCCCAAGACAAGCCCAGGCCAATTTTCTTGTTGAACATCTCACCTTCTGGCTATGTATAATTGTTTCCACACAGTGTAATCTAACCAGATCTTCTGTCCCTTGTATTTCTTGTAAACTACAAGACAGACCTAAAGGTATGATTGGTTAAAAATCTGGGGCAAGATTGTTTATAAGGGTGTCATATATTGTCTGGTGGTCCCCTATTAGTGATGCTAAACTTCGTCTCTGGCTTAAGGTAAATACAATCAGATCACTGAACCTATGATATTCTGAAAGCAACTTCAGACTACTTTCTAGAGCTTTAGAGACTGACAGCATTGATTTTAAGACATGTATATTTTTTCTTTGTGTTCCATATAATAAAGGTGCATCTTCCAATCAGTGACATCTTAGATTCAATGAAATATATATCAAGTTCTAATTTGAAACCTGCCTGAACACTACTATAATAATCATCACTGTCATTTTTTGGTTCACTATTAGAACAAAGAAAATTAGAAAAGGAGGAAGAGAGAAAAGAGAAGTAGGAGCAACATTTTTCCTTATATAACTGGAAGGGAACTGAAAGGAAGAAAAGAATGAAAAATGCCAAGACACACGTAGAGAAATTTTCTAAGATCAAAGTAATAGAGCTGGGAGAAGGAAGAAAGGGGATTAGCCTAATTAGTACCTGGTTAGGAAAATGGGGGCTAGGGCCGACCCCGTAGCACACTTGGGAGAGTACGGTGCTTGGGAGCGTAGTGGCGCTCCCTCCACGGGTTCGGATCCTGTATAGGGATGGCCGGTGCGCTCACTGGCTGAGCGCAGTGCGGGCGACACCAAGCCAAGGGTTGCGATCCCCTTACCGGTAACAAAAAAAAGACAAAAAAAAAAAAAAAGAAAATGGGGGCTAAGAAGTTGAACCTGTTGGTTTTACAGACCTGTGCCTTGGCAGGCCTGTCGGCCCAAAACAGTCCACTTGCTGGGATTAGTGGGTTGTCTGTAATCTGGGGTGGCCAGGAAAATATAAAGGCAGCAAAT